ATCCACGTTTGCAACATCTTAAGGAGGGAGGAGTTATATTAACCAATTGCCATGCTGATTTATAATCAATTATCTATTTTTTATATGCTTTAATGTGCTTACCCCTTTCCTCTAGGACTTTTTAAATACATTGTTGTAAAGTGAACATCAAATTGCTATGTCGGCATTAAATGATTATTTAAGCCGATGCAGTCCCATAAGGAACGTTCATTTGTTTTCTGGCTTTAGCCTGTAGCAATTTGATCCGAATATTTTCTTTTGTCACCTCTGTATTTTAATCAATAAAATAAATGTTTTTTAAAATACAAGTTTCTGAATCGAAAATATCATTGGTACATGGCTATATAGGTGAAAAATATTATCAGAGATAAACGTGCCTCAAATTTTACTTGCAGCTCTCGCGTTTATAGGTAGAATGGTTCACAAAATCTAAGCGCAGTAGGATATTATTTTTACAATTTTTAGAGCCAAATATGTTGGAGACGGCTCAATCAAATATAGAGATACTTAGTATATATTTTTTGGAATCGAGAAATTGTGCTCTTCAAGAACATAAAATCAAATATAGGGCATCCCATTTGGAAAATTTGAAAGTACGCAAAATTTCAATGATAATAAATATTCGTTTCTGACAATAGTCTTTGTTGGGTAGTGGTAGGTCGTAACTAGTAACGATCCCATTTTGTGATAGATTATAGATTTGTCCTTGGATGGTAAAAACATGATCGAATTCATCTCTGTCAGTGTTGATCGAAGTGACACCGGAAGAAGTAATTTGGATGCAGGCATTGTACAAAAAAATAGTTAAATACAAAAGTTGTAGGGTTTTATCTCTATAGGGCATTCCCAGGGCCGTCTTAACGCATGGGCCCGCTGGGCCCGGGCCCAGGTCCTCATCCACGCCTAATTTAAAATAAATTTTATGGAAAAAAAATTGGAAAAAAAAATAGGCTGGTAGCAGATAAGAATCATTCCTTAATCTACCAGTTCAAATGGAGGTAGCTCCGTAACGTTCTCTTGAATTAGGTCTTTGTATACTGATATCATTTTTCTTATTGCTACAACGTGATTTAAATTTAGTAAAGGTGCTTGTCTATATAGTTCATGGACAAAATTAACATTATCTCTGGTGGAGCACAGGACATCTCGGATAATTTGTTGAGCCAGTTCCGAATCGCTTGTAGTTTTACTTGTTTGAATTGATACAGCTGGAATTTATGAAATTATGCACAGGGATTTTGTAATATTAAATCCCTAATTGAATCTAAACTGGGATGAGCTGAGTCATTATCATCGTCATGCACTGGTGTATCAGGATGAGCACCATGACTTTAATTCGAAGCCAAAATTGCATTTCTAAGCAAAGGCAGGTGAATTTTAATTATTTTTGGCATCCTGACAGGTATGTGTCAGCATGACAACAGTGTGCGAACTACATTTTATTTTTTCCCAAGATAGATTTTGACATTGAAAACTTTGAAACATAAACAATAAGGCTTGACCCTGATTGGTCGCAAAATGAGGTGTTTCTGCAGGTTGACATCAGTTTTACAATAGTGACCAATAAGCGGCATTAGCGGCATTGTTTATGTTTCAAAGTTGACAATGCCAAAATCTATCTTGGAAAAAAATAAGGTACAGCTATTTCGCACACTGGTGTCATGGGAACGTTAAAAAATCAATACCTGGGAAAAAAAGTGTCACTTCGCAAACTGTCATGAGTGTGCAAACATCATCATTTTTTGACAGTTGTAGAAAAACAAATTATGACACTCAGCCTTAGAGCAGGTAAAGCGCTGTCCTATGAACATAAGGAGTAGGAACGCGCCATTCTGCTTATGAAACTAAAGTGAAGCTAAGTTTTTGGCAGGTGCTTGGCACCAAAATACAGGTAGAGCATTGAATTGCCATAACCGCCATTTTTTGTGGGCCAAAATACCTGGAAAAAAACGGCTTCATTTTCCAAATCCAGGTTACTACAAGCACTCAGCACACTTTCGAGAAAAAAATATTGATAGAAAAAACAAAAATTATTTCTTCGCCGGTTGGAACTTCACTGGTTTTCACGATTTAAGAATTTTCTCACTCCGATTCAAGAATTTCCTTATGGTAACTTTGTTTAGAGTTAGGCCGAAATTTACTTGTTTACAAGTTTAAGATGCTTTGGGAGAAACCTTCTAGATAAAATAAGTTAACATTTTCAAATGTCGACTGATATTCACTTATAAATATTGATTCCTACCTGATAAATGCATCGACATGCCCGCTCACCCATTATGGTTCTGCATCTGTCCCAATGTTTTATTCATATATTTTTCCTGCTTTCTTCATTTGGCTCGCCTGTTTTGGAACCACACCTGCACTCTGGCTTCTGTCAGATCTATCCTGAGTGTCAGTTCTTCCCGAAAAAATACATCGGGATAGTGAGTTTTGTGGAAGGCTCGCTCTAGCTCTTCCAATTGGTAGTTTGAAAAAGTCGTTCTGGAAATTATTACAGAGTTTATCCAATTTGCGCTAACAAGCAACAGAAATGAAGCTTCTGCGCTTAATGTTTATTTCAGCAAATGTAACTATGGAAAATTGTATTTATATTGTATTTATTTGAAATAAACCAATTTATTTATTATTTATTATTACTACATTTTCGAAAAATGACTTATCACTCGACTTTTAACTCAAGCTTCTAACTGACCGTTCTTACTTTTTTACTGACTTTTAACTGTATGGACTTTTTATACGCGAATTTTGCGTCATTTTTGGCCTCGGGCCTCACGCTTTTAGAAATTCTTTTCTTCGTGAATCCAAAAGCCGGCAAAATTTGCAGGTGTGCGTTTTCAAAGATTCGCGCCCGAATGCCGCCATTATAAATTATAAATCCGTTCAAGGAGACACTTCAAAATTTAATTTTTATTTTCCTCGGTACGAATTGTTACTTTGTCTCTATTTAAATTCCTGTCTCAAAGGATGCCGCCGCCGCCCCAGCTTTATGCCCGAATTTTGAAATTTAGGTTGGTATTGCTAAATTTGGAAGTGAAAAATATACAGGGTGACTCAGAGTAAATTTCCCTTTTTAACATGTTATAAAAACAAAATAAGACCTGTTGGGGCAATTTAAATTTTGGAAGTACAGAAATGCGGATTTTATTATTTAAACACAATATTATCCAAATGTCAACCATCCCTCGCATATAGCACTCCTCCAATGATGCTCTTAAATGTTGGAAGACTCGCTGACACATTTCAATAGGAATGTTGGAAATGGCCTCTCGAATGTTGCGTTTTAACTGTTCCATAGTGGCTGGGGGATCGGCGTAGGTAGACGATACTCTCCAAATATCCCCACCAGAAAAGTCTAGGGGCGTAAGATCTGGTGATTTTGGTGAAAAAACGATGCCCCCATTTTTCGAGATTACAGTTCCTCATAGGAATCGTTCGATTTGAAAAACGCCTCGACCATAAAGGCGTGTTGCTCTTTCGACCACAATTCTATTTTTACTGAAAATCCACAGGCATTCGTCGCAAATTACCAGCGCTATCCCCCCCACAAGTATTAAAGGGGGTGTGCGCCAAAAAAACAACTTCATCTCAAAAAAAAGAGAAAAAAAATCTAAGAATAACAGTGAAATCGGCACCCCTCTATGACAAATAATACCGCAGATATGGCTCTATGAAGGTACCGCATCTCACCCTATGACGTCACGAAAGCTCAAGCAACGCACGAGAAAGTGGATTTAATTAAATTTTCCTACGACCATATACGAAAATGACAAAATCCGCACTAACTGGTTCTTTGGAAAGCGCTAAATATCACACGCGTACTGAAAGTACTTTCAATACACGCGCTTAAAATACTTTCAGCACATGTGTGGAAAATTCTGTTGACATTATTTGTGATTGACATTTGACATCACAATATACTTTCAATACGTGTATTGAAAGTACTTTCAGCACGTGTGTTGAAAATGAAAAGGAATAAAATAAAAGAAAATTGGTGTAAATCGGTTTTTGGTCGTGGGAAAAATGGTGTACATCACTTGTGAGAAAGCGTCTTTCATACACTCGTGTGATTTTCGCACTCGGCTACCGCCTCGCGCGAAAAAACACTCGTGTGAAATTTGTCACTTTCTACACTCGTAATGTAATATACTATTACATAATGTTTTTCCTGTGTTACCTGCAATAATCTAAACAAAAACCACTCACGCGTGCCGGGTACAATCAAATTAACAATGCAAAGCGCCGCTGGGCGCTGGACGAAGTTTTCGTGACGTCACGAGAGCGTCGTCCACACTTTAAAGCGGTATATCTCAGCGATGGTTTATCGTAGAATAACGAGGTTTGAACAGTTATTCTTAGATTTTTTTACACTAAAACTTTAATTTTTGGCACACACCCTCTTTAAGTTGGATGTATAGGGCGCTATTAAAAACGGAAATTTACTCTGTGTCACCCTGTATTTTAACATTCCATTTTAGAGATAGGGCTGCCCTATTGGGTTGCCAATAGAAAAACATTAAACCTGATAACTGTTCAAACTTTTATTTTTCACAATATTTCGAAACTCAAAATTGGTTCTTTAGATAAAATTTATGTTTCTCCTAGATTATCCTGATCCATTGAAAGACTTCCAAAATGAACGTGAAAGTGAGAGTCCGAATAGTTCAAGTTCCAAACGCAAACAAAGAAGGTACAGGTGAGTTTTTAGAAATTGAAATACATCTTTTCACAGGTCTTTAAAATACATATATTAATTTAGAAACCATTCGAGAGGTAAGTTTCTAAGCTGCAGAATTGATCTAAGTGATTAATATTTTGTTCAGATAGTACAATATTTTAGAATCTAAGAAAATAATTCTCTTCGATCGTCGGATTAAAGTACAAAATTGTTATTTTAGGTATTAGTGTATATAACCATTTGCATGTTTGGAAAGTTATTTTAGAACCCCTTACTGGTTATAAAACAGCAAAGTATTTCATAAAAAAATCTTAATTAAAATCACCGGATAGTCATTAAGCAGCCATAAACTCTGTAATAATTTTCAGGACGACTTTTTCAAACTACCAATTGGAAGAGCTAGAGCGAGCCTTCCACAAAACTCACTATCCCGATGTATTTTTCCGGGAAGAACTGGCACTCAGGATAGATTTGACGGAGGCCAGAGTGCAGGTGTGGTTCCAAAACAGGCGAGCCAAATGGAGAAAGCAGGAAAAATATATGAATAAAACATTGGGACAGATGCAGAACCATAATGGGGGAGCGGGCATGTCGATGCATTTATCAGGTAGGGATTAATATTATTTAGTGTAAATCAGTCGACTCGACGTTTGGAAATGTTAACTTGTTTAATCATGAATTCAATAATGAGTTTATTACAAATCGACAAAACACAGGACATAATTAACCTGGTTAAGTATGATGAGACAAGCAAAGGTCGCGGGTTCAAATCCCGCACTAACTCCAACTTTTTCAATTTTCCTTTGACTTTAATTTCAACAAAATTTTTTTGAAAAATATATTAGTTTCGGTATCTTTCTCTTCTCTCAAATATTTCTGCATTTGGATGTTACATTGAATAATATAGGTAGTGTTTTTCTTTCCATAGGTTGCCAACCACCAATGGAATCTCCCATGCTCAATTTTCAACCAACCGAAAACGTAAACTCTCCAAATCTCTTCATGGGCTTAGAATGGTCCAACATGGTCCAACCAATAACATTTTCAAATATCAATTCTACAGATCTACCTTGTGTTGATCCACATCAGCTCATAGAAACACATGAAAATAATATGAGGTTTGTTGTTTGTCTAGGTAACTGAAAAGGTCCAAATTGCTAGATACTTCAGCAACAAATGTATTATTGGTCGGCCCTTTTCGCTTAAGACAATAGACACAGTAAAAGTTGTATCCAGTATTTTGAGTGCTAATTGATAAATTTATTTTAGTGATCAAAACCCTTGCCAGATTGACATATCGTTGGCCGATCGTCTGAGTAATCCCGACATTCTGGATAAATGTTCCTTAGATAACGGTACAATAACAATTTCCATGGAAAATCTCTTGGAAAATAATAGTTCTCAAAAAAATGTCCAGAATAACGGCGGAACCTCAGATGCCCATCAAGTTTTGGAAAGCTGTGCATTGGACAACATAGAAAACTGTCCGATAGAAAAACGATTAATTTCCATAGACGATGCCATGGACGACTCAATGGAAACGACTAGAAATGTGCTGCTTTCTGAAATGGAAGAGGGTTGTATGACGTTGGGAATTTCGGGATGTAGTCGGGACGATGACGATATTTCGATAGATTCGGATTTGTTAACACTGAAACCTAGGATTCGGGATGAGGAATGTTGTGAAAGTGACGTGGAATAAGAATGTTAAATTTTTTTTAAATTTGTGAAAATTTACATGCTAAATAAATATTAAATAATATGAATATGGAAGAGTTTCGTTGAAAATTACTGCAATTTTTACAAAACTATGACTCAGTAACCAATTTAGATTGGTGTTTGTTTTACTATTTTCAATACCTAATATGTAATTATTATGTAAGTTCTGAATAAATATTTCGAAAATAAAATTAAAATGTTACTTTTCACAACTCTTAAAGCAACCTGCTTGTTTTTATCTGTTAACGCAACAGTATTTATAAATTTGGTTGCTTCTCATTCTTATTAAAGAATTACTTAAATGTCAATATACGCACAGCTTATAAGAAAACCCAGGTGAGTGGTAATAACTTTTGTATTTCGACAACCCTATGGTATCATTTTCATTTCTATTTCTATTTGTTTGCGCGATTTTCCAGTCACAATCCAGTTTACTAAATTATCGAAGAAAAATCTTCAAATATTATTGAATCGACCACATTGAATTACCTATATGGCCACTTCTGACGACGTACCTATATCATTAAAAATAAGGAAATATAGCAAGCTTTCACTCATTCAGCATTCATTTTAATATAAATATGGGCTTGCAGCATTATAGAATTTAGTCTCTAAGTCAGCTTTGTTATAGAAACATCCATGTATAATTTCATGTTTAATTAAAATAGAAGTTTTTAAAAACAGAGGTTGAGTTGCCTAATAATACTGTCACGAAGCCTCTCTTGCTCCGCTATGTAGCTCGACTATTCACCCTGAAAATCAGAACGGGAAGGGAAAGGGAGCACTAGAACAACTAACTAACCCAAACGCCATTTTTATACATTTATGAAAATTTTTCCTGACTTCCGGTTTCATGGGAAATGATCGGAACTTTTAATTTTTAAATGGCACACCCTGTATTTTTTTTGTTTTTCGGATTCTACACTGGTGTCGTCACAATAATGTTATAATTACAGTGACTCTATTACCCACAGTGTATGTGTGTCTGTCTTATTTTTCATTTTTGATTGGTTCTAAAATCCCATATATTTATATTGCAAACACCGCCACGCCATCTTGTGCCCACCTATTGCTTATTTCAAATCTGAATATATGGGATTTAGGTGAACATCCATCATAAAACATGGAAAACAACGGATTTGATGGACCTAATAATAGTCATCAAATACGTCGATTCCAAATTTTTACGATAAATGTCCATTTAAATCCTATATTTAAAAGTAACAAGAGGTTGGGAACAAAATGGCGGCGAGACCTCTATTGTCGCCACTGTATGTAAAGGTTTATTTAGCAACTGTAGTTATAATGAGGGTAAATGGCCGTTGGTTGTCTAACTCAGGTAGGCATGCACCGTAAGCTAATTTTGAGGATTAGTTATGAAAACCTGGATTACATATAGTTTACTTATGCACCACAAGAAAAATTCGGTTTAAGCTTCAAATTATCTAATCGGTCAACGATGCGTGGATTAGCGGCACGGTGTCCAACCTAAAAGTATTTCTTGGCACCGATTTTGAATTCTGATTCTTTTACAATTTTTTCATTATTCTGGCTGGGGTGTAAAATGGATTTAGAGGACGAAATATTTGTAGATGATGATCTCGGAGAGTCTACAGTCTACGAAAGAAGTGATTATTTCGACAATATGGACACATCACACATCACTAGTTTTTTCGAAGATTTCGAATTCGAAACCTACATATCCCAACTTCCTGGAGAACATAAAAGAAATTAAATTCCAAAATAATATTTGTTACTTGATAGATAGAAGAAAGTATGTCTTTCTGTGAATAAGTTGGCTAACTAGATCATCCCACCTCATGCACCTTCTTCAAATCCAACTTATTCTACGGGAAATGCCCCGCTACATAAGCACTTTTTTGGTGATATGAGGTGTAGTGGGTAGTGGTATAACAGCTACAGATAATAGCTAGTATTTAGTCTTTCTAACTGCTTAACGGTTCTATGGCAGAGTATATAGGGTCATTTCACTGGTTCTCGGCCTGCTAAGTAAGAAATCGACTTTGGAGGTGTAGGTAATATGGAAAAAAAGTGTTGGATCAACAATGTAAGGATATTAAGTAAATCTTTGGAATGTTTTTTATCAAAAATTAGTTGTCTAAACCATAGATACAAAAATCGAAAAAATTAATAAAAAATTAAAAAAACGTAATTTTTTTAGTTCTCGGCCCCTCGCCGCAGATATCGGCCAATTTTATATCAGTTCTCGGCCATACAATTCCAGGTATTCGAAGAAGACGTCTGATGTCATCCAGCCTTTCTCGGATTTGTCTAGAACCCATCCATTTGGCATGTTATCAACTACCGCTCTAGGCGGTTTTACATATGGAAATAAAAGCAAAGGTGGAGCAAATTTTCCGTCAGCGTTAAACACTACTAAAACTGTCATGTTCTCTTTTGCATTTCCTTGTTGAACGCTGAACAAATTTTTAAACCCCTTTGGGCCGAGAGTTTTACCAGATTTGGGGCAAAGTGAAAAACCGGATTCATCTTATTTGGAGAAAAATCTGGAAACTCTTTGGTTCAGTTAATAATACAACCATTTGCGCTTATGAGAGCCTTAAAAGATAGATAACGTCACAGAAAAAAACAAAAATGTACATTTCTTTGTGAATGTTTTTGTCTCAGTTGGTACCTTAAGTCTATGGTACCTAAATGTGTACTAAGTGAGACTAGTACAAGTACCTACAAACTGAGACGTAGAAAAATATTTCTAATACGAATAATGCGATATCAAAATAACACAGATGTAGTTACCTTAACATATAATAACAATTCTTCCGTTTATTCGTTTAGTTAAAAAAAAAAACTAGCGAATGTTAACTACTATGAACTGAAGTTGATTCCAAATTTGTACATCACAGATTGTCGCTTGGGTACCTAGTACCTGGAATAGGTTCAGGAAGTAGGTATCAGAGCTATTTCATTCAAAGTAATGAAAGATATATCTGGCACAGTCGAAAAGGAGAGAATTAGAAAATTTAGCACTCTTACGAAGAAATGATAGTCTCACTTAGTACGAAATATGTTCTCACTTAGTACTTTTTTGTTTCGTAAATTGAAAGCCACTAAAAATCACATTCATGTTAAAAATGGGCTCTATCCTATCGCTATGTGGAAAGTGCGTTTAGTGACCAAAAAGTATAAACATTACATGATGTTACTCTATTCTACAAAATGAATTGATAACAGATTATCTGAAAACATAGCAAAGTAACTGGCTCAAACTAAATTCAGTTTTCACCTCAAAAATCCGTCAAATTTAAACAAAACAACGTGAAATTTCACAGAGAAGTGTGCCTTTGTTATGTTAATCACCCCCTACGACAGACAGAATTTGGAGGGAAATTTTAATACCCGCCCTTAGTACACCGTCTCACCTAGTACAACCATCCCCTAGAGGTAAACAAACAGGCGGAGCTTAAATAAGTATTCAGTGGACTGCAAAAAATAAAAATATGTACAACTAGTGAGCAATTTAGATTAAAACAATATCAAGTTACACAGATTCCGCTGAAGAATTCGTTCGGAAATATTTCCAGAGAAGAGAAATACAAAGCAACCTAAGGGCAGATATTATAAAACTTCTTTGACAGTTAACTTAAAGTTAACTTTTTGAATTACGTTACGTGTAATTCCAGAAGTTAACTTTAAGTTAACTCTCAAAGTAGTTTTATAATACCCATCCTAAGACGGTCCTGCCTAGGGCGGAGTATGGCTCTGGAACGAAAGAGCGCTGTAACAAATGAGCGCTGTAACAGAAGAGCGCTGTAACAAAAGAGCGCTGTAACAAAAGAGCGCTGCATAAAAGAGCGCTGCACAAAAGAGCGCTACAACAAAAGAGCGCTGTAACAAAAGAGCGCTGTAACAAAACAGCGCTGTAACAAAAGAGCGCTGTAACAAAACAGCGCTGCACAAAAGAGCGCTGTAACAAAAGAGCGCTGCACAAAAGAGCGCTGTAACAAAAGGGCGCTGTAACAAAAGAGCGCTGCACAAAAGAGCGCTGCACAAAAGAGCGCTGCACAAAAGAGCGCTGTAACAAAAGGGCGCTGTAACAAAAGAGCGCTGTAACAAAACAGCGCTGCACAAAAGAGCGCTGTAACAAAACAGCGCTGCACAAAAGAGCGCTGTAACAAAACAGCGCTGTCTGAATTTCAAAAAGATGAATTAAGTAAAAAAGGATAGAGATTGGGTCGCATTCCGAAGACGGGTTATTTTGGGTTAGATTGGGTTATTTTGTATTCTTATCTGTTCGAGCAATTTGACGAAATTCAGAAACAGAGATTGGGTCGCATTCCAAAGACGGGTTAGTATGGGTTAGATTGGGTTATTTGGTATTCATTTTTTGTTCGAGCAATTTGATGAAATTCAGAAACAGAAATTGGGTCGCATTCCGAGGACTGGTTATTTTGGGTTAGATTGGGTTATTTTGTATTCTTATTTGTTCGAGCAATTTGACGAAATTCAGAAACAGAGATTGGGTCGCATTCCAAAGACAGGTTAGTTTGGGTTAGATTGGGTTATTTTGTATTCATTTTCTGTTTGAGCAATTTGATGAAAATCGGAAACAGAGATTGGGTCGCATTCCGAGGATGGGTCAGTTTGGGTTAGTTTGGGTTACTCTTTGGTTACAGCGCTCTTTTGATACAGCGCTCTTTTGTGCAGCGCTATTTTGTTACAGCGCTCTTTTGTGCATTGCTCTTTTGTTACAGCGCCCTTTTGTTACAGCGCTCTTTTGTGCAGCGCTGTTTTGTTACAGCGCTGTTTTGTTACAGCGCTCTTTTGTTACAGCGCTATTTTGTTACAGCGCTGTTTTGTTACAGCGCTCTTTTGTGCAGCGCTCTTTTGTGCAGTGCCCTTTTGTTACAGCGCTCTTTTGTTACAGCGCTCTTTTGTGCAGCGCTGTTTTGTTACAGCGCTCTTTTGTTACAGCGCTCTTTTGTAACAGCGCTCTTTTGTGCAGCGCTCTTTCATTACAGAGCCGCGGAGTATAATCCTTTTCTAGCCAATAAAATTCGACTTTACCTGTCAAAGTTTGTTTACTTTCACTATCTCGTTTCGTGAAATGAACTTTAGTTTAGTTATGATGACGTCGGAAATGGTGACACACCAATATGGCGGCGATTACCAAGAAGGAGGCCGATAAGCAATCCTATAAGTAATGTCGTATTACATGCCGAGGTGGAAAGTATTTCATTATTGTCGAGAGATTTAGTTAGACCTCGGCTGTGCTCATTTTTCCGGAACAGCTCCGGGGCGTTACGCGCTTATTCCTTTCGAAAAGTGTTTGTTAACTTTGCACCCGAGTGCTCAAGCCTGAACTCAAACTATTTTTAATGCACGAGGAAAGCTAGCGCATCTGTTCCTTTTCAAATCGAGGTCGACTAACACCGGAGCGAGTAGCTCTAGTGTTCTAAACTCTTGGAAGGAATAAAACAATAGCTAGTGTCCACTACAGGAGGTAACCTATACGTTAATTTAGCTCACTAGCGAAGTACCATCTGATACAAGGAAAAAGATTAGGAACTTTATTGTAAGAATAAAGGATACGTTGTCAGAAAAGGCCTCTGTAAATCCCCTAGCCAAATTGTTCAAAAATGATTTTGGAGACTCATTTTGGCCCACAATTATGTTAATTTTGATTCTTTTTATCGTAGTTCTATAAAGCTAAATAAGTTGCAAATTAGTTATTCGATTTTTGGTATTAACAGCGCACTGGGTTCAATACTGTAACATGCTTTGGAGTGTGACGTTCACGGACTGTGACTCCAGAGTAGCTCGAGGCTCAAGTTCTTGCAGTGCTTGAGGATGGAGATTAATCGAATTTCGCGGTTATGAGTACTAGGCTCAACGTGGAGCATTGGGAATATTAGCCGTGTTCGTTTTAGTCATCTTTTTCGTCAATTTACTCTCAAATTTTGACAGGCATCTGATTTGTAAATTGAAACTGTCTGATCCAGTCACGTGCCTGTCAAAATTTCGGAGCAAATCGACGAAAAAGATGTAAATTAATGAACGCGGCTCTTATGAATAAATTATTGAATCATAACCCAAGGAACTGACCGCTGAAATGATTAATGATTTGGTTATATGGTTATAGCAGTGTAGGATTATGTTTATTATTCATTTGTTTTTTTGTTTCAACAATAGTTTTTTGTTTAGGTACAAAAAATGGAGCTGAATCTCTCGTTAGTCTCGTTTATCGAACAGATTTTCTTTGGGGATGATCTAAACCTCGATCTAAACATGGTGAATTGCAGTGAGTGAGTGAATGTTTACTTCTTTCATGGTGCAAGGCTAAAACGCAACTGCAAAACCACTGTAAAATCACCAAACACCAATACAAATTCCAAAAATAATAACAATAACATCAAAAAGCTGTAACCAAAAGATTAACCCAAGTCCAAAGCTGGGTTATAATCGGTTATAAGTGGTAAATAGCAAAAGCAAATCAGCAGATATGATGTGACGTCACAACTTCCCCTATTTTGGTTAAAACCGTGACGGCGGAAATGCATTGGTTATAACCAAAAAATAATCATTTCAGGCTGAAAATCGCCTTTAATAAAAGATCAAGACAGTTATAGTTCGGTGCACTTAATGATCTAGAACTGTTCAGAGTACACTTGAATCATAACTGTTCTGGAGTAGTTCTTGCACCATCCCTGTTCTATAACTGATGGCATTGACAGTGACATTTGACATTTTAAATTTGAATTTCCAGCTGCTAAAAACCCATTCCAAATTCCAACCAACAACTAACAAAAATAGTAAATTTTGGGGCTCATGATTTTGATACATTAAAATTATGAAACCCAAAGTAAGTACCGGCTATTTGACTCCCCAGGGCAAGAAACCGAAACTTGCAAGCAAAAGACACAATATGTCAGTGCGAGAAGAAGAAAATGAGACCCCAGAAATCAACTCCCAGCTGGTCCAGGCCCTGCTGCAAAACCCTGAAAAGAAAAAAATGATTTTGCAGCTTTTAGCTTTAAACAAGGACGTTATTGAGAAACACAGCAGTGGAAGCTCTTTGCCAAGTTCAGTTGATAAGCTAAAAAGTAGAAAGGTTTGTGAAAGCCCTACAGCTTTGATGAGACGCAGGGCTTTGGAGAAAATGAACAACAGTCCAAATGCATCAAACAATACCCTGTAAGAAACTTGATTTGACAAACAATAATCACTCTCTAATATTAATATGTTTAGATTATCAAGACCCCATTCGAGTAGCAGCGCCAGTACATCCTCAACAACAACCCTAGACAAAGTTCTAGAAGGGGTAAAAGCCTATGTTGAAATCAAAGACAGGCACAATCAAGACAAATCCCAGGGAGCGAAAGAAATCCTTAAATCTATGGGGGCCACTGTGGTGGACAAACTCAGCAGTGAAGTCACTCACGTAGTATTCAAAGACGGTTCTTATAAAACCTTCCAGATGGCCAAACTGTTAAAGGTGCACATAGTTTCGATTTTGTGGGTGGAATTCAGCAGGAAGACATTGCAGAGGGCCCAGGAGAAACGGTTTCCTGCTATCGGCAACAAGTTTGAGGATGAAACTATAGTTTGTTCAGTAAGAATTGTTCTCTTTATTTATTTATTGGAGCTTTTAAAAAGATCAAAGAAATCCGGGGTTGGCAAAAATCCGGCTAATTGTATTATGGTGGATAGAGAATTGGTTTTTTGATGTTTTCCATTCTATTACAGTGCTTCAAAATCTTTAAGGAAGCAGTTGAAAATTTTAAGGAGCATTTTGAAAAGCTTCAGAATCCGCTAGGGGTCAACTTTCGTTTACCAGAAATCAGCTATTAGGAAAAAAAATAGAAAACTGCCTTCAAAAAGCCTCCATAAAAACGAAAACACACAAATTTTTCTGCTTCATTTCCATTTTTTGGACTTTAGAATAGCTGAAATCAGTTCTGTGCGAAATTTTTGTTTGTTTGCATTTTTAACAATTTTCTGAACATACAAACACAAAAATTTTGCTGCAGAAATAAGCTATTTCCATTTTCCGGAAAAAATTATGAGTCTTTAGAATAGTTGAAATCAATTACCTATGTGAAAAATTGATATTCCTTTGCATTGTAAACATTTTTCTGAATGTAAAAAAGGAAAAATTTTCTCGCGGAAATACACAGTTTCTATTTTCGAAGCCATTCAAAAAACGCCTCTTCCCGACCTTTGATGAAAATAAATGCAGAAAATTATATTTGAAATTGACGATTTGGCCCACCCTTCGAAAATCAACTACGAAAATTCCCTACTATTGGTCGCTATCAGCGCGCTTTGTTATCAACCAGTACATTTTGACCAGTAATAAACGAACTGTAACGAAACTAACCAAAAATACACAAACTAACCGGAACTAACCCATCCACGTAATGCATGCTAGTCCTTGCATGTAAATTTTAGGCCGGCATAGACACATGTTCTTTCGCGCAGTTTATCGTGTCATCAAATCAAATATATTACGGAATTATTTTGAATTTACATTTTTTTACAAAGAGTCCTTATTGCTAATATATTGTCTTACAATTTGTAATTTAAGCACCTAGGCGATTACATCCCCTGTATGTGCTATAATCATCCATTTGTTTAAAAGTCCTATATTAGGTAAAGTTTTTTCTAAAAGAAATATATGCAGTGTAAGGCAGATAAGAATAATTTCAATAACAATAAAGTTCTCCCTAATTTTTTTATTTTAAAAGATTAACAAACTCCTCCTTTTTGTTAAATATAAAACATCTACAATTTTTAATAAATTTTGTCAGACTTGGTGTATTTCTCAATTCTGAAGGTAGTAAGTTAAAAAATTTTGGGCCCAGATAATTCAAGAATCTCAAGTTCATTGTTGACTTACTTTGAGGTATCTGGAGGTTCATTTGAATATTGATGCAAGTTGGGTAGTCATGATTTACATATTTCCTAAAATTATCCTGTTTGTATACAAATATACATGTTTCTAAAATGTATAAGGATCTTACATTGAAAATCTGATGATTATATAATTGGTGTGTTGGATATAGTTTACTCTTTTTGTATATAGTGTATCTCTAAATAAATAAATAAATAAATAATTTTGAGGATATAATTTTGTGCAACATTGAGTTGTTCCAGAACGTTGTTATAGAGACCACCCCAGACTATAATGCCATATCTCAATAGTGATTCTATCAAAGCCTTATATATTGAGATCAATAACTTTTGGCCCATTGATTCTCTTATCTGATAAAATTTATGAATGAGTTTCCTGATACTATTTTTCAACTTCAAAACCTGTTCCTCCCATTTCAAGTGCTTATCAATGATCACCCCAAGGTACTTAATGTGGGGGACCTCCTCGATTTCACTCTGGAAGTTCTCCACAAAAATGCCGGAGTAATCTGGTTGATTTGCCATTGTGAGTGAAAATGCCACATACTTATTTTATTTTAATTTATTTTTATTTTATTTATCAACGGGTAGCCCATTTTACAACTAAATTTCAATATAATACATTAAATTTAACATAACTAAACTTAAACCTAACTAAATTAAATCCAAAATAAATCTAAGTCAATAAACAGAATGACAAATCAATAAACAAATGCGATGCAGTAGACTGTCATCTCAAATCTCAAGCAATGTTCCCAGAAAGCACAGTCCTCAGGACGCCAAGCGTAATGCTGAAGAAATCTATGTTCGATTCATTGCCCTCTCTAACAAATCTAGATATTGGAGAATTGACTCCATAATTATTATACTTATGGAAGGATTGCATGAAAGTGCACTTTCTTCTAGTATTCCTAGGTGGTACAAAAAAGTCTATTTGGGATAGAATTTCAGGACAATTAACAAACGAATTCAATATTTTGAACAAAAAAAATAAATCAGCACTGTGTCTTCTAGTCGAAAGTCTGGGCATCCCCGTTATTGACCTTAAAAGAGTCGCAGAATAATCTGGATAAAATATATTTAATTTTCTAGACACAAAGTATAAAAATTTATTCTGCACCATTTCGATGTTTTTAATATGAGTCTTATAGCTAGATGACCAAACAGGCGAGGCATATTCCAGTTTATGTGCCTATTCTGTAAATCGCCTTACATCACTGTAAATTTTAATCACTGTAAAGTTTATATCACGATGTATAACTGAAACTTACATTGAAGGCCTTAACTCGTATTCCGTAACACCTGCTGTAAAGTATATAGTTACAGCGCCCTATTTATAGCGCTCCAACATCATAGTAATAAACGTAACCTAATATTTTTATATTTTGACAATTTTTGAAGTTGAAATATTTTGGAAAAAACAGGAAAAAAGGTGTCATATCTTTACCGTCTATGGCGTCTATAATAGTCCTCCTGATAAATCAGATACATAGGTTTTTAGGTTTCTTGTGAGTGGTCCGATGTCGGCCCTTCCACAAGCGCATAAGAATATTTGGGAGATATCTAATAACTTCTAAAATATCCTGGCGCTTCAAGAGCATTGAGCAACCAATTGAAAACTTTAGAAAGCATTTTGAAAAGCTTCAGAATACGCTTGTGCCAATTTGGAACATATTTAAGCCTTTTGAGACTCTCTAGAGCAATTTAGAACTTTGAAAAGCTTCAGAAAACTTTCAGTTCAATTTTCAACCCTCCTGAGACAAATTGGAATGTTCAAGAACATTGAATTTCAAAAACATCCAGAACACTTCTAACCTTTCAGGAACATTTAAGAAAACTTGAAATACTTTAAAGTTTAGGTGATCCAAGTTAAAATTTCCAGGAGTATTTTGGAACACTCCAGCACTCATATGGAACTTTTGGAAACAATCTAAAACTGAAAACTTTCAGAATATTTTGAAAAATGTTACATGATACTTTAGAACTATTTACTTAACTTAAAACTTTCAAGAACATATTAGAACACTCTAAAACACGTTTAGATGTTAGAATTTCAATTAGAAGTATCAAAGAGTGCTTTAGAATATTTGGGAAACTACTTGTACGTGGCAATGAAAAATGTTTATTTTGGTCTCCTATTTAAATATTTTGATAGGATTTTTCTGTGAATTTCTGTATTATTTGTACACTAACTAATTTCTCAGATTGCTACTAATTGTCTAATAACTAATATTGATTTATTTCTCCATAGCAAATGCATAAAGAATATGAAGACATGATCCGGGATGAGTACAGAAACAGCCTCTTACATGGTACCCCTCTGCCATCAACTAAAGCTCTTATAAATCGCAGAAGAACTCTAATGACCCCATCTGTATCCAAAAACGACTCCAATAACTCTGAATCATCTTACAAGAGTGCAATTTCTACACAGAAACAAATTGCCACTATAAATGAATCTCCTGACAAGGAAAACTTGATAATGAATGATCCAGAAGGTTTATCTTTAAGAGATTCTGATATGGAACTAACTAATATCCAAAATGAGCAAACACCAAAACGTCCTTGTAACATGTCTTTGTTTGATACGCGGAAAACTATTGGCCATTCATTGTGCTCAAGAACTGCTTTAGAAAGCAATGAAAAAGCGCCTCAGCTTCGAGTTTCAATTGAAAAACTTCAATTAAATGTAAGATCTTCTTCAGACGATTCTGAAGTATGTTTACCTGCAACTAAATCAAGAACATCGTTGGCCAATCGCCGCAAAACTTTGACTATGCCAACTGCTGGAATCAAAAGGCGCAAAAGTTTGGCTTTAGACAAACTACAAGGTGATTCGGACAGTTCTTGTGAGGATTTCCAAGCCAAAACTGCAACTAAAACACGCAAAACTTTGAGAAGAATTACTTCAAGTGATTCGATCCCATTTAACACCTCATTGAGAACTGAAGAATTGATTAGTGCTGGGTCTTTGAAACGATTGAAAAAAGCTAGAAAAGTAAAACATATTACTGGTGATACTAGTGATTCTGACAATACTGATATTGATGAATCACTTACAAGAATGAGAGAAGAACTAGTTATTTCAGAGAGAAATGATTCAACTAGTGATGGTACTGAAAAAGTTAGTAAATCAAAATTGACCAAAAAGCATGTTACTGGTGGTGCTAGTGATTCTGACCAGACTGATATTGAGTCTGTAACAATAGTAGAAGCGACTTTAGACTCTAGTGTTGAGTCTTTGAAACGAGGTAGAGTTGAAATAGCTGCCTTGGAATCTAAAAAAGTAATTGCTCCCAAAAAACATGTCACTGGTGACCATAGTAATGCTAACAACACTGATATTAATAAGAAATTGACTTCAGATTCTAGTACTAATTCATTGAAACAAGCTAATACTAGAAAACTTAGACCAGCAAAAAAAATGTCTACTCAAAACGATCCAATGAGTGATTCAGACAATGATACTGAAACTAGAAGGGTTGCCAAACCTGCCCCAAAATCGTTCAAAAAGCATGTAACAGGTGATTCTAGTGATTCAATAAAATCGCGTAGGCTCTATGATCCCAACACATCAGTACATCTAATTGAAATCGATGATGAAAAAGAAAGGCAAGAGAAAAGGGAGCAAAACAAAAAACGTAGACTGAAACAAGCAGGCGACCAGGCAGGCTTCATAAATCCAGTAACTGTTTTACTTGATAAAATAGCAAAAAATGCCACAGAAAGTTCAGACAGTTCTTCTTCGCCTCAAAAAACCCCCAAAAAACAACAAAAAAAGACGTCAAACAACAATACAGACGATGAACAAAAACAACTATTAGACGAAGTCCTGAAAAGACCAAAAAATATAGAATCTAGAAGGAAATCTGTGAGGATACTCAACATTCAAAGTGCCAAAAAAGCAACCACCTCCAAACCAGCGCCTTCTACTCAGACTAGAAGAAGGAGCACCATGGACTTTATGTCAAGGACTCAGATGAGTGCCAAAAAGAAAATTAACAAAGAAAAATTGCCTACAATTGTCTGCACTAAGCTGCACAGATCGGAAGTACAGGTAAGAATTTTCTAGCTGATACGTGTTGATTCGATTGAGTGGTTTTTTACAATAATTGAAAAGCTCACTTTTGAACTTTTCAAAGCATAATAATTCTATTCCCGGCTCTTCTACAGCTGAAATGTAAATGGAAAGTGGTTTTTGATCATTTTAGAATTTAAATTGAATTTGTGTGGTTGAAAAGGATCATTTGTGAGCTTTATAGAGCCAAAATTTGACTGGAACAGCTTTAAAATCTTATCCTTGTTTATCCCTTTCAAAGGACTACAATCCCTGAAAATTTCAGCTCATTTGCAGTTATAGTTCCCGAGATAAAATCGTGTTAAGCAATTGGGGTGATTTATCAATTTTTCAATTTTTCTGAGTGCCTTTTTTCATAGATTTCGGCTTCAAATCTGAGAATAATTTTGTGCATGGAGTTTGGGGTATGTTGATTGACCATTAGGATACAAAATCTCGACCAAAAAAAAAATTGAAATTTCATCGTTTTAGTAAGAAGGTACCCCCCTTATGATTTTTTTGGAAAACTTTGAAAGGTCATTACTTTTTTTCTATTATAGATAAAAAGCTGAAACTATCACTGAATTTTATCCCTCTCAAAGGACTACAATCCCTGAAAATTTCAGCACATTTGCACTTATAGTTCCTGAGATAAAATCGTGTTAAGCAATTGGGGTGATTTATCAATTTTTCAATTTTTCTGAGTGCCTTTTTTCATAGATTGCGGCTTCAAATCTAAGAATGGTTTAGTTTATGGAGTTCAGGGTATCACGAGGGACCATTATCTGAAAATTTCAGCTCATTTGCACTTATAGTTCCTGAGATAAAATCGTGTTAAGCAATTGGGGTGATTTATCAATTTTTCAATTTTTCTGAGTGCCTTTTTTCATAGATTTCGGCTTCAAATCTGAGAATAATTTAGTTTATGGAGTTCAGGGTATCACGAGAGACCATTAGGATATAAAATCTCGACAAAAAAAAAATTGAAATTTCATCGTTTTAGTAAGAAGGTACCCCCCTTATGATTTTTTTTGGAATACTTTGAAAGGTCATAACTTTTTTTCTATTATAGATAGAAAGCTGAATCTTTCACTGTATTTTATCCCTTTCAAAGAATTACAATCCCTGAAAATTTCAGCTCATTTGCACTTATAGTTCCTGAGATAAAATCGTGTTAAGCAATTGGGGTGATTTATCAATTTTTCAATTTTTCTGAGTGCCTTTTTTCATAGATTTCGGCTTCAAATCTGAGAATAATTTTGTGCATGGAGTTTGGGGTATGTTGATTGACCATTAGGATACAAAATCTCGACCAAAAAAAAAATTGAAATTTCATCGTTTTAGTAAGAAGGTACCCCCCTTATGATTTTTTTGGAAAACTTTGAAAGGTCATTACTTTTTTTCTATTATAGATAAAAAGCTGAAACTATCACTGAATTTTATCCCTCTCAAAGCACTACAATCCCTGAAAATTTCAGCACATTTGCACTTATAGTTCCTGAGATAAAATCGTGTTAAGCAATTGGGGTGATTTATCAATTTTTCAATTTTTCTGAGTGCCTTTTTTCATAGATTGCGGCTTCAAATCTAAGAATGGTTTAGTTTATGGAGTTCAGGGTATCACGAGGGACCATTATCTGAAAATTTCAGCTCATTTGCACTTATAGTTCCTGAGATAAAATCGTGTTAAGCAATTGGGGTGATTTATCAATTTTTCAAGTTTTCTGAGTGCCTTTTTTCATAGATTTCGGCTTCAAATCTTCGAATAATTTAGTTTATGGAGTTCAGGGTATCACGAGAGACCATTAGGATATAAAATCTCGACAAAAAAAAATTTGAAATTTCATCGTTTTAGTAAGAAGGTACCCCCCTTATGATTTTTTTGGAATACTTTGAAAGGTCATAACTTTTTTTCTATTATAGATAGAAAGCTGAATCTTTCACTGTATTTTATCCCTTTCAAAGGATTACAATCCCTGAAAATTTCAGCTCATTTGCACTTATAGTTCCTGAGATAAAATCGTGTTAAGCAATTGGGGTGATTTATCAATTTTTCAATTTTTCTGAGTGCCTTTTTTCATAGATTGCGGCTTCAAATCTTAGAATAATTTAGTTTATGGAGTTCAGGGTATCACGAGAGACCATTAGGATATAAAATCTCGACAAAAAAAAATTTGAAATTTCATCGTTTTAGTAAGAAGGTACCCCCCTTATGATTTTTTTGGAATACTTTGAAAGGTCATAACTTTTTTTCTATTATAGATAGAAAGCTGAATCTTTCACTGTATTTTATCCCTTTCAAAGGATTACAATCCCTGAAAATTTCAGCTCATTTGCACTTATAGTTCCTGAGATAAAATCGTGTTAAGCAATTGGGGTGATTGATCAATTTTTCAATTTTTCTGAGTGCCTTTTTTCATAGATTTCGGGTTCAAATCTGAGAATAATTTAGTTTATGGAGTTCAGGGTATCACGAGAGACCATTAGGACACAAAATCTCGACAAAAAAAAATTTAAAATTTCATCGTTTTAGTAAGAAGGTACCCTCCCTTATGATTTTTTTGGAATACTTTGAAAGGTCATAACTTTTTTTCTATTATAGATAGAAAGCTGAATCTTTCACTGTATTTTATCCCTTTTAAAGAATTACAATCCCTGAAAATTTCAGCTCATTTGCACTTATAGTTCCTGAGATAAAATCGTGTTAAGCAATTGGGGTGATTTATCAATTTTTCAAGTTTTCTGAGTGCCTTTTTTCATAGATTGCGGCTTCAAATCTTCGAATAATTTAGTTTATGGAGTTCAGGGTATCACGAGAGACCATTAGGATATAAAATCTCGACAAAAAAAAATTTGAAATTTCATCGTTTTAGTAAGAAGGTACCCCCCTTATGATTTTTTTGGAATACTTTGAAAGGTCATAACTTTTTTTCTATTATAGATAGAAAGCTGAATCTTTCACTGTATTTTATCCCTTTCAAAGGATTACAATCCCTGAAAATTTCAGCTCATTTGCACTTATAGTTCCTGAGATAAAATCGTGTTAAGCAATTGGGGTGATTTATCAATTTTTCAATTTTTCTGAGTGCCTTTTTTCATAGATTGCGGCTTCAAATCTTCGAATAATTTAGTTTATGGAGTTCAGGGTATCACGAGAGACCATTAGGATATAAAATCTCGACAAAAAAAATTTGAAATTTCATCGTTTTAGTAAGAAGGTACCCCCCTTATGATTTTTTTGGAATACTTTGAAAGGTCATAACTTTTTTTCTATTATAGATAGAAAGCTGAATCTTTCACTGTATTTTATCCCTTTCAAAGAATTACAATCCCTGAAAATTTCAGCTCATTTGCACTTATAGTTCCTGAGATAAAATCGTGTTAAGCAATTGGGGTGATTGATCAATTTTTCAATTTTTCTGAGTGCCTTTTTTCATAGATTTCGGGTTCAAATCTGAGAATAATTTAGTTTATGGAGTTCAGGGTATCACGAGAGACCATTAGGACACAAAATCTCGACAAAAAAAAATTTAAAATTTCATCGTTTTAGTAAGAAGGTACCCCCCCTTATGATTTTTTTGGAATACTTTGAAAGGTCATAACTTTTTTTCTATTATAGATAGAAAGCTGAATCTTTCACTGTATTTTATCCCTTTTAAAGAATTACAATCCCTGAAAATTTCAGCTCATTTGCACTTATAGTTCCTGAGATAAAATCGTGTTAAGCAATTGGGGTGATTTATCAATTTTTCAAGTTTTCTGAGTGCCTTTTTTCATAGATTGCGGCTTCAAATCTTCGAATAATTTAGTTTATGGAGTTCAGGGTATCACGAGAGACCATTAGGATATAAAATCTCGACAAAAAAAAATTTGAAATTTCATCGTTTTAGTAAGAAGGTACCCCCCTTATGATTTTTTTGGAATACTTTGAAAGGTCATAACTTTTTTTCTATTATAGATAGAAAGAGCTGAATCTTTCACTGTATTTTATCCCTTTCAAAGAATTACAATCCCTGAAAATTTCAGCTCATTTGCACTTATAGTTCCTGAGATAAAATCGTGTTAAGCAATTGGGGTGATTGATCAATTTTTCAATTTTTCTGAGTGCCTTTTTTCATAGATTTCGGGTTCAAATCTGAGAATAATTTAGTTTATGGAGTTCAGGGTATCACGAGAGACCATTAGGACACAAAATCTCGACAAAAAAAAATTTAAAATTTCATCGTTTTAGTAAGAAGGTACCCCCCTTATGATTTTTTTGGAATACTTTGAAAGGTCATAACTTTTTTTCTATTACTAGGTCATGAGCGCGCTTCGCGCGTTTTTTTTTTAAATCAAGTCCATCAAAATAATTATAAAATGGAAAATATTTATTAGGTGTTGTACAAAAAACAGCATAATTTTTCATTTAAATGTACATTATACATTAAATGTAACAGTGAGATAAGTTGTATAGATGTTATTCTAGTGAAGAAATTTCAAATGCGATGGATGGAGTTGGTGACTAATTATTTTTGTATGGTATAGGTATCATAATGATTTTAAATCGATCACATTTCTTGAATGTACGGTGTGCGTATGTCTACTTATCTCCTTCTGTTTTATGGAACTCGTAGGTGTAGGTATACATTTTTCGAAGTGGTTTATTTAAAACAGAATAATCATAACCATAATCAAGGTGTTATTATAAACCGAGTTAGTAACTATTTATGTGCTGTGGTATAATACGAGATATCGAGCCTTAATTTTTTTTTTACATTTTCATGAAGTTCCTTTTTTTTTATTAGGCCAGTTATTGAAGTCTACTCGATCAACATTTTACTGCAAAAAATCGAAAAAAAAATTTTTTTAAAAGATTTTAAATTCAATTGCTCAATTATTCAACTTACATTTTTTGTTTGTACCTACGTGGTAGACATAAATTTTAAATGTGATCAAAGTAGTTGGTGAATTATTACTTTTGCGGTACATCGTAATGACTTTAAATCAATCTTATTTTT